AAAAAAAATTCAGAATATGGAATTTTCAAATAATATTAAGAAAATTTTAATGTGAACCTCCAAACAACGTCTCCTTCTCTTTCAGTCATAACACGCGATTCTACATGACGCGGTATACGATCTTGAATAGGCACCCGACGTCTTGCTTCTCGATCTTCCCAGCCCAATCTATCCCATCTATCACGATTTCCCACACGATCACGAGGCCCCCAACGATCAAACCGGTCGGTAGTTCTAGTCAAATCGCTCACAAAAAGGTAAGGAAGACCCAAATCAAAGGTTGGATCATAAAAAGGGTCCAAAAATCTTTCGAAAGGATCATAGGTCATGATTTAAAAAAAAATTAAAAAAAATTAAAAAAAAAAAATAATAAAATCCAATTTACTTTCTCATTATTGCTTGAACTTTGGTCTCTTTTATACCAATAAAATTCAATGGCTTATGTTTTGTAAAGTTTACATAATGATCAAGTCATTTTTTTTTCAATACATAAAAATTATGTCATTATTGTTTTCATAGAAAATGAGATATTACCTTAGTTTTTAAAGTGGTCTTACGTAAACCTTATAATTTGCAGTTATGCGAAATTTAATATGACAGGATTTAGTTTTTAAAAATTCTATATTTACTAAAGTCCTTTATAGGAATGTCTTAACTGTTAAACTTCATTATTCATGGTGCAAATTTATACTCTTTAATAACCATGATGGGTGCATAAGAACTATTAATAAGCGTCTTTCATCCCATTAAATACATTCATTCAATTGATCTATACATTAAAAATACCAATACACAAGTCTTATACGCACACGTGACTTCTTTTAGCGTGGGAGTAACGTTAATTATATCTAAAGCAAATGAAATACGTCACAATCAATATTCAATCGTCGTGATTGGCTAATTTTGGGTCTGACCATATGGCACATGAATTCTACAATATAAACGTACCTCTTGAGCGTCGGCAACTTGTACATTAAAAAAAAATGGATTCCGATCATATGGAATGTTCTGAAGACGAACGCCCTCCCTCACCAATCAAGTTCTCTGGAACTATTAAAGGGAAAGGGAAAGCTTCTAAAGGTTTTACCTCGCAAATAGAAGATAACTTGCCATGGTGTGTTAAAGTAACCTTTATTTCGGGTGATTTAAGCCTCTTTTAACAATTTTTGACGCGTTTGGAAATGATAGGGTAGAAAAATATCGCCCTCAAACACTCGTCGAACTTGTATCACATAAAGAAATTACCTCTACAGGTTATTATAACTTTAAATTTTTCACTCTTAAGTCATTTGCACGCTCGTTTTGACAGAATATGTGCCTCAACAATTCTCGTGTTCATTTATCATTAGTCGAAAGGTTTATCAATGAAGGCCGTGTTCCACATTTATTGTTTTATGGTCCACCTGGAACTGGGAAAACATCAACCATATTAGCTTGTGCGAGAAAGTTATATGGTGATGATTGGAGATCTATGGTTATGGAAGTAAGTGGCTGTACTGTTTTAAATTCTGTGAAATATTTTATTGAATAATAATTTTTACGCGTATATTAAAGCTAAATGCTTCTGACGAAAGAGGCATAGATGTTGTTCGTGAACAAATTAAAAATTATGCCGGTACACGTAAAATGTTTAGGTATGGACAAATCAAATTATTATTTAATGATTTGTTGTGAACTTTTTTGATGAACGAATGCCTAACATTATAGCGCCGGTTTCAAATTAATTATTCTGGATGAAGCTGATGCAATGACCCAACAAGCTCAAAATGCGTTAAGAAGAGGTTACTGCTTTTTTTTCAAATTTTGATTCGTTTTATCAAGATCATAATAATAACCTCATTTTAATTTATTATTTTAGTTGTAGAAAAATACACAAAAAACGTTCGTTTTTGCATAATTTGTAACTATGTCTCCAAAATTATTCCCGCTTTGCAATCTCGATGTACTCGATTCAGGTTTTCTCCGATTGAACAAGATCAAGTGAAATCTCGTTTGGATTTTATTATTCAAAGTGAAAAGTATTGTATTCGTTACAAATATAGATGCTGGTGAAATTAACTTTTACCAAATTCACCAATTCGACATCAAATTCGCCAATAGTGGTGAAATAATTTCACCATTCTAGTTTAATTTCACTAGTATCTTTCATTACAAATTATTTAGTTCATATTACGCGTTTTTAATACTTACCCTTATTATTCAAGGGTCAATATAACTAATGATGGTATTTCTGCATTACTGAAACTATCGGGTGGTGATATGCGAAGAGCTTTAAATGTTCTACAGGTATCTTTTTTTTTTTTAGAATATTTCCTTGTTCGTAATTGGTATAACTATATTTTTTTTGTTGAATCTGTTAGGCATGTCACTCCGCTTACGATTTTATAAATGCATCGGTGGTGTATGAGTGTACGGGAAACCCTGAACCCACAGATGTTGAATATATTGTTAATACAATGTCAAAAGATGAATTCTCATTAGCATATTCCAGTTAGTGATCTTAATATGAATTAATTATTCACAATTTATGTTAATTATATTATTTATGCATAATGCTTTTTTTTTAAATAGATATTAATAAGATGAGAATCGAAAAGGGGTTTGCTTTACAGGATATTGTAACAGAATTGTTTAAATACTTTTTGAACCAACATGACTTTCCTGCCAAGTCACGAGTTTACTTTCTTGATAAACTTTCTCAAGTCGAGTATGAAATATTTTCTTATATCATATTTATTTATTTTTTTTCAAATTAACGATAGGCCTTACGTTATTATCCTCTTTTCAAATAGATATAGGCTTGGTACTGGTAGTTCCGAAAAGTTTCAGCTAATTTCATTGTTAGGATCATACAAAATAGCAATAGGCATGGATGGAGAGGATATGGTTTTATAGAGTGAAAATACAATAAACGAGTAATAAACTAAATAAAAGGATTATCTTTTAATTTGTAGGCTTTTCTTAAAAGATATTTTTATTTTATAAACTAAGGAAAGTGTTAGATATTACCTAATTTTGTTAAGTACAAAAGTTTTAAATACAAAATTAAAAGTATAAAGTTTATATATTAAAGAAGGGTAATAGTTTTATAACTTTTAATTATATTATTTTATTATATAAGTTTAATAATTTAAATTTTTATATTTAAATATAGTAAATTTAAAACAAATTAAATAAAGTTATATAAATTTAAAGATTTGTTAATAAAAATATTATTTTTGTTAATATTACTTTTTATATAACTTTAATTTTTTTAAAAAATTTTATAAACAATGTTTATTATAACTATTAACTAATTAATTATATAAATTTGTTGATTTTACTATTAATATTCAAATTATATAAATTTGTATTGTTTTTAAATATTGTTTATAGAATTTTTAAAATTAGAAATTAGTTGTTATATAAAAGTGGTATTAATTGTTTTAAATTTAATATTTTAATTTATTATAGTATTATAGTGCCGTAGTGCTGCTCTATATATAAATAAAAAAATTGGTGTAATTTGTAAATCAAAACAATCTAATCTTTACAAAAAAATAAACTTTTAATTAGATTTAGATTAAAGCTAGGTTAAGATTAGACAGGGTATAGGTTACTAAAATTTTGCAAAGAATTTTCTTTTTTAAGTAAAATTTTGAGATATAATTTTTTAAAAATTTATTATTTTTGTTATACAAAAAGTGATCTGCATATTATATCTGATTTTAAATTTTAATTGGTCACAATACTTTAGCATTATATTGCTATAGCACTATAAAATAAATCTCTTAGTTTTTATAATTTTTAAACAAAATTTGGTTATATAGTTTTTTTTATTATTAAAAATAATTTTTATATTGGTAAGTTTTTTTAAAATAAGGTTATATTTTTAGAATTTTATCTTTTTTCGCATATGCGATATATCGCTACCTCCCTGTTATACAGATCGACATTATATAAACAGATAAGTATAGCTTTTTTTTTTAATTGGTTTTTTTTTTTTTTTTTT